TACGGTACATAAGGGCTCATTGCTAGGACTCACTTTTACCATATACGGCACAGTATAATACATACAGTATATGACATCAAAAATAAAAGGTATAATTAGGAAGATACTATTATTAATGCTGTTTGGCTACGAATAACATGGTCCACTTACAGTCACATACTTCACCGAGAGTGATTTCACACTTCAGCCAATGTAAACACTGATGAGTACGCTCTTTTATACAGTAGAGTAATATAAATTAATTTAGTCATTCTTGGGTACATTAATATTGGTTTAATGTAAGACTGCTTTATTGCAAGTATTATATATATATATATCGATAAAATCACACGGGAAAATGGAAACAACGGAGCTCCGTTGTTTCCATTTTCCCGTGTGATTTTATCAAGATTTACCTTATCCACGTTTTCATTGTGGATTTACATGAAATATATATATATATATATATATATATATATATATATATATATATATATATATATATATATATATATATATATATATATATATTACATACTCGGTTAGTACTACCGTATACTTGGAACGACTAAACTAGCACCCAACAGGAGCATATTCAAGACCTCAAAAACAGTAATCCAACTGAAAACCACACACAGCAGTCTCTGACCGCTAATTCGCAGTGTAAATATAAGTAATAATTTTTTTAATGTAATTCTATAAAAAGGCAACTTCCAGGCGTATTTACTGGAATCATGATACAAAACGGCATTACCAATACCGTATTGCAAACAAAATTTCCACTAGTATCACATAAACGGAATATAACTCGCTCAAAACAGTGTCTATCTTTGGACAACAACATTTAAGTTTTCCAAGTCGGTATTCAGTTCAAATTATGTTAATATAATATTATACGAATTGTCGTTTTCAGTAAGTAAATTTTACTGGTGTTATGTAAATGAAACTAGACCCAAAAATTGAATGGTAAATGTACGAACAATCTTTCATCGGATGGTCAACTACAGTTCAGCATGCTCGCCTCGCTGTCTAGCGGACCCGAGTTCGATCCCCGGACAGGGTGAAACTACGGGCAAGTTTCTTTACGTCATTTATCTGGCTACCCAATAGTAATTGGGAACCTGAATGTTAATCAATATGCGGATCATGTTCCGGGGTAATGGTTAGCCAGTTGGCGAGTTGTCCTGTCTTCTCGGACTATTCCTTGACACTGGGTCATGCAACTCGTTAAGGACGTGGTTGTTGTGTTGGCGACAGCGACAATCTACACCTAAAACAAATTCATGCCTAGGTGGCCCTAGGGCCGGCCATCCTCGTAACATGAGGAGCAACCATTATTATTTCCAGTATATATCTTCAGCTAATGTTACAGAAATACTAACTGTACTTTAATTTATCCTTTTAACAAAACAGACACCACTTTACTTCATGGTACTTTTTTTAAAAATCTCAGCTTGTAAAGTTTTTTAAGCATGCCTAAGCTGTATTCTGGATTAAAAAATTGGTGGCTGGGTTCAAACCTTCAATTCATTACGACCTTACTGGAGCTTTGAACCCTTTTGTGAGGATGTTAAGACAAACTTTAATATTACAGAGGGAAATCACTTTCCCTACCAGAATATATTACTGTATCGAGAATCACTGTACAGTGTTGAAAGTTAAGTCCTAAATACTGAAGGCTGCAAAACCAGAGGTGGCTCATTACCCATGTTCAAAGGGTCAACAGGAGCGTTTTCCAAACCGCATTAAACGTAGACGAATGATTTAGAATCTAAGGTCGAGTCATATTTATCATCTTTTAGTTTTATTTAAATTTTAATGCCCTCTTGTGGTTGTGTTACATGGCTTACACCAGTGCTGCTTTAAACCGGTTTACTACTGCTTATCAACCAGCACTGTCTACTCAGTAGACTCTAATGTATATGCTGAACCAAATAACACTGGTAAAACTGCATCGTCGCTACCAATTTGTTTTTGACCAGAAATCTATGATTTTCTCGTGGTATTTGGTGTGAACCATTTGAATTTAACCTTCATTTCCGTCGGAAATCATTCGTTATGGATTTATCTCCTCAACCAAAGAAACCTACCTCGCCTTACCTGACTTCCAAGAGGGCTTTGCCTCCCAAGACCCCCCGCCATATTTAAAACAAATTATGTATTTTGATATCTGGTACCAATGAAAGCAACTTCGTTGATGCTTCATGGTGTAATTTAACTTTTTCTTTTCGACGTGAGAGTATGCTCAAACCGAGCGAGTCAGTTGTAAACAAAAGGACGAAACACGGTGGCTGCAGACTAACGTTAATTTCCTACGTGAATTTGCCATCTCTTATTATCCATTTGCGACGGAAATGGTATTAGAAAAAGTTTTTGCAACTGACGAGATAAAACTTCTGGTGAACCCAAAATTGCTCTAACCCAATTGAGAGTGAAACTGCAATATTACCCTACAACTTTCATGATAATTTTACAGAATACAGTATGTCTATCTCTTTCATGATAATTTTACAGAATACAGCATGTTTATCTGCCTTACCTTCTAGTGTTGCACGTAACTGGCAGTTCAACTCTGTGTGATTACTTTTTTTGTTCCGTGCTCCCAAGAATTAACCTTTGACCTTTCCCATCCCCTAATATTCAAGTGCAATGACAAATAATAGAATTCATAACATTTATTTGGTCTGAAAGTAAAAACCTTTTATTTTATGTTGACCCCCCACCCCCTGGAATCTCACAGCGTCCCCTGTTCAGGAATCACTGCGCTGAGTACGACATACTGTAGTAGCTTTATTGCTCGTTATATATTTGAAAAGATTAGAAATTTTCTCGCAGTTTTCAGATTTTCAACTCACGATATCTCGGTTAAGGGCAAAATGCGCCAAAAGTGCCACAAAAGAATATAGTCTTTTTTGTCTAAATTTACCATTAGCAACAACAAAAACAATAAGGAATTATGTCCTCTACTATAAAGTGACCATCATTGATACTGCTGCTTTTCCTTTCTAGCAAAGGATGAATTTTAAAAATAAGATGCTAAAATTGTCATGTTAAATTTGCCTAATATAATGTTCTATTTGTCTTCATTCATCACAACCACACATACTGTAGTATGCGGTCTGCCGAGCTGGAGCTACTAGAGTATGCAGTCTATCGTGCTGAAGCTACTATAGTATGCAGTCTACCGGGATATTTAAACTATTTACACCTCACCGAACTTCATCAAATACATATATCTTAACCTGACCTTTCTGAACCTAGGTTAGGTTAATGGATGCTACAGCATAAATGTCCTGGTAGACACAACTCCAGCTCGGTAGACCGCATACTATCGTAGCACCCGATTTTATTCACCGAAGAGATACCCCGTCCAACTCGGCGGTTTAAAAACGGCAAATGTCACAGCCTATACCTGTATAGATATTTACTGACAATGGAATTACACTCAGTACAGAGAAGATCAAAATACGTTTCATTCTAACAATATAGCTTAACTAATTCTTCCAGGGACAAGGGGATTTTAATGCAGACTTTAACAAATTCATTCTTAGTCTAGGAAATACACAGTTGGTCGAGAACCCAGTCCTTACACTTGGTTTGTTTATTTACGTTTTCCAAGGTTACGCCAAGCTAACCCTCATTATTTCTTTATTGTATTGAATTTAAAACTATCTATATCTCTCTAATTGCTTTATGTGAGGAAAACGGATCAATCAGGTTTCCAAGTTACAGTATAATCTTACCTTAGCTGTTTTATGCATTTGTGATCCCGTAAACAAGATAGACGTACAAATATCGTCTGCAAGTTTCGTAAGCTCATCAGCTGATCGAGTTGAATAACATTGGCAAATTTCGGTTTATTTACAGAAATGCGGCATTTCCTCACCTTAACACCAATTCTTGTTGCCTGCAGACAGTAGCAAATATAACAAACACCTTTTATAAATCTAATGTATTCTGCTTTGATGTTTTTAACAGAACATACAAGCACCTAAAGCTGCAGACGACGGTAACCGGCTTCATTATCCCTGTTCCGGGGCCTTACACTGGCTCTGTTTCCCGGCAAAATGTCACCCTTAAAATAACTGCACTTACCATTTGAGAAGCCAATCCTGATGTATAACATCCTTGGTTAACTCCACAAATAACGTTTCCACTAAACGAACGGGATATATTCCTTGTCGTTGAGTTCACCAATGTTTGGTTTATAAGAGAATCTAACAGACGAGCTGCGCGGCCCCGCATCGAGCTGGCCATGACTTAAGACAGACTCACAGCAACTGAACAATGTACTTAGGCCGTACAGCCACGATGGAGACCAGCGCTACACTGATTCTATTCAGGTGTCTTAGTCGACCGCTACAGCGCAGGCGCTCAGCCGTAATCTATACATCTTTTAAATTATTAATATAACAGTTGTAATTTCAGATAAAGACTATTTTCTTATTATATTTATATTTAATAAAATTTTTAAGTATTAATTCTTATCAGATATTTCAACAGATATTATTAATTAGAAAGATGAATACTCAGAAATTACAAGCAGATGACACTCTATATTTTATATAACATTAGATACGATCTATACTCTTACAGCATACTTATATTGAAAATGGAGAAAGATAAACATAAAAAATACTTAAAGAGGAGGTAAAAACCAATGTTACTGACTATATATAACACGAAGAGAATAAAAAGCGTTTAATCCATAGCGCGCACACACACACACACACACATATATATATATATATATATATATATATATATATATATATATATATATATATATATATATATATATATATATATATATATATATATATATATATATATATATGTATGTATATATGGATAGATAGATAGATAGATAATCTCTGACGACCAAGGGGATAAAAAAATAATATTAGCGAGGACATTAAAAGCCACCTGTATTATTCCTAGTGTAATTTAAAATTACTTGATGCGCCACTGGAGGTTTGGTACTTTGGTCTTGGAAACGATGCCTTTATTACTTACAACTTCTCAAACAGACGGTGAGTATCACAACCCTGGAGCGCTAGAGTGACTCAGGCAACAGTAAACATGTCTCAGGTCTTTAGGTTGGCAGCAGAAAAATTGTATGTGGCACAAGAAATATTGGACAGATTCATTCGTTGTCTAATACTACAAGGTGAGTTATATGTTAGAATAAAATCAAGATAATATTCATGAAAGATCCGGCCTTATTAATGGGAATATTTCCATTGTTATTTCACTCAAACGTTTGTTATATTTCAGTCCAATAAGGGGAAACACTTTAACACTATACCTAATGGATATTATGCCGTCACCGGCTAAGGGTAAATATTCCTCCATCAAGAATAGTGTTTTGTTTTTGTTTTTGTTTTTTACAGTTTTACTAAAGTCTGGCCTTCATTTCATTTGCAAATTAGCGGTTTTTGCAAAAAAAAAAAATCATTTTTAACAAACTGATAATTTTCACAAAAGGTCAAATTTGGTAAACGTTTACTAAGTGCTGTGGGCGATTTTGCCAACAAAAACATTTTTATCGTGCATGAATTTTGCTACTTTTTGTGGGGTAAATTTGCAGTACATTACACAATTTTGTTAGAAAGTCAAAACTATACTCACAGATACTCACAGATGATCTGGAAGAGGCTCGCGCCTGTGACTCCAGCTCAATAGCCTCTTCTCTACTCAGACGGTGGCTGCGTGTGGCGGATAATTGTGCCCTAAAATTATATACTTGTTGATTTTTCCAGTATTTATCTAATTTTGCTTCAAACTTTTCCACCGTCTCCACATTCACTACCCACTCAGGTAAACTATTCCAGTTGTTGACAACCCTACTCGTGAACGAGTGTCTTCTGAGATTTAGCCTGATTTCCGTCGGAAAATGATTTTTTTTTAGTTATTGGGGGTTTTGGGTGGGACGTTTTCCTACAAAGATCATGGCTAAGCGAATATAAAATTCACCAAGAAACACTAGAAAAACATATGGTTAATATATAGGACGAACCCGCCAGCGCTGTTTAGTGCCGATGCAGCCGTATCATCTCACGTCCAGAAAATGCCTCAAATTTCACCATATCATAGTAAGTTCATTCATTTTAATATACCGGGGAAGTTAGGTAAGGTTAGGTAGGTAGGTTTGGTTTGGTTGGTTAGGTCTGTTCTTCATACCTACAAATGCTAAGTAGTGTTTATTTTTTAAATATAAATTTTTTTAACGTATAACAATGAAAATCCGGCGTTTTTATAATTATTTTCAATCAATTTCGCTTGCAGGATAGTCCTATATAATTATCAAACATATAAACCTAACCATTTTTTGGATGACCTAGCCTGACCTGACCTAACCTAACCTGACCAAACCAAACCTAACTCTCACCATATGATGGAATCACTTATTTCTTACCTTATTGGCCTGGTTTTGCTTCTTCGTCGGATTCTGAGATCAGTACAGGTTACTGACGTGACGGTGTATAAACACCAACGTCTCTTCTTTGTCTTTGGAATAAGGAACGAGTTACTACAATACCAAATATGTTGGCCTTGACAGTATTTACACTCGTTCTTACACTTAGTACACTTTACTGATGTCGGGAGAACACCATGCTATCTAAAAAACGCTATAGCTTGTTCGTTTTTTTTCTTCTTTTTTTTTCAAAATATGCACAATCAACTCAATATAATTGAGGTGACACCCATCGCAGATTTCCATGGTCGGAAATGAATTTGAATTTCAAAATATGAGACCCAAAATCACATCGAATCTGATTGGCCAAAAAATACCGTAATTTAAACCACAATTCATTTTAATTGGTGGCAAAAAAAGAACACTTTTGATTGGCCACGTGACGTATACGGGAACGTGCGTGACGTGTACGGGAACGCATGCACTTGATGATTTATGAAGGAAACAACAGACTTGGCACACAAATCCAGTTCTATTTTACAGTATTGCTGTGAAAAATACTTTGTATTTCAAGGAATGATGCCGTGGTCTTTGAAAAAACTAAAGGGTCTTGTTGTCTTTATCCCTAAATTCACAAATTATATCCATATAAGATTGGCGACAACCTTCACACGTCATGCTGAAAATGAAATTGCCACTGGGAAGAGAGGACTCCTCTCTTTGCCTCATTACCACCGGGAAGACAAACTAGTGCGCGCATAGATGCCTAATTATTTACAAAACGAAGCATTTGCACAAGATATGATTATCATATCAGAATTTACTGATGCAAATAAAAAGTAAGATAATAAATAGTAAAACAAATAACTAGTCCGTGGGTTAGTCGTCAATATTAACTATTAAACAGAACCTGACCTTAGTTGATATGAAAAACAAGCAGCAGATGCATTGTTAGAAAACCTCACCAACCTAACCAAACAAACCTACCTAGCTGGGAGATGGACCCCTGGGTATATTAAACAGAAAGAACTTACTATGATATGGTGTAATTTTAGGTGTTTTGTGGACATGAGAGCAGCCGTCTGTACCGAACGGTTCATAAGCATACACTGAGCATCACCGTTGATCCAGCCTGGGTGGTGGATTGTTTTGAAATATGTCAACTGTTTACATCTTTGGATGAGACGTCACTGCCGCATTACCGTCAAGAAGACAAAGTAGTGTGCGTCTAGGTGCCTAATTATCAACCAAAAGAAGCATTTTCACAAGAAATTATTATCATATCAGAACTCACTGATGAAAATAGAGTAAGAAAATAACAGCAAAACGAATAACTTGCCCGCACATCAGTCGTCAATATAAACCATGTTTACAGCTACACAACGATCGACTCACAGCGGTCAAATATAATTCTTGCATTGTTCGCCATGTGTTGTCCATTTGTTTACAACTGACCCTTTCGGTCTGGGTGTACTTTCACGTCCACAGAAAATGTAAATTCACACCATGATGCTTCAACAAAGTTACTTTCATGGTTGTCAGATATGAAAATAAGTATCAAAGGCTTAATTTTCACTTTACTATACTGTATCCATACTACAGTATCCCTAATGAGCAGTCATGTTTGTGAGACCCTCTTATTAATTTTGCATTACTCGCTCACATGTATGAGTACCAACTGGATGTTGATACAGTACTCCAAATTGCTAGTGTAGACCTTAATATTACTGTCATTGTATAATGAAACTAATTTGCATAAATAATTAAAATATTTTTGTCTTGTGATATGTAACTGAATCACCAATTTGTGTTATTAAAATGGCATATATACAGCTGAAAGAATCTTATGTTATTTATCTAAATTTAAGGTCCCCATCCAAGACTAGCAGTGCTGGTAGATCAGAGGACTTCACAGCAGCCAAAACCAGCCAGTTTATCCCAAAATTCTCCAGAAGAACTGATTGGAGATGGAATTTTGTGGGCAGTACCCAAAAGTCGAAGAAGTCGTGAGAGGAGACTTCTGAGAAAATTTGGGTCAGAAAGTGGCCATAAGAAGATGCTGCCCATACTTAAACTTCTTACCTGTGATGACTGTGGTCATGTTCATGAACCTGGTCGATTGTGCCGTAAGTCATTATTTATTTTGTCTTCGAGGGATTTTGTATTACAGAAACAAAACAATTGCTCTTAGTGGTAGTAAAGTAATGCTTTAAACATATACAGAAATTCAGGATGATGGAATAATAACAAAAATATTAATGGGCAAAGATGAGGATAGGAGGGCCAGGGGAAGGCAGAGACTGGGATGGATGAATGAGATTAAAAACTGAGACACCAGAAAGATACAGAACCGTGGAGGATTGGTAAAAACAGACCGAGAATATTTAGAGGGGTGGTCTCAAGCCAGGTATGAGGATGGTAGCCTCATTGATATTGTATTTACATCAATCTCACCTCTTATTTTGCTCTTGCAGTTAAATATGTACTGAAATATTATCTTAGTATGATAATGACATGTTTGAAAATATAACAGTTATGTCATCTCTACAGCTAACTGTTATGCCAAGAATATAGAAATAACTGAGGCCATGCAGGAGGCAATGAACTCCACTCAAGGACTCAACCCAATTGAACATGAGGTTCTCCCTGTCTTTAAAGGAGAAAACATCAATACAAAAGATGGATTTTTTCAGGTAATATATGTACTAACTTAAAGAGTAATAGGGCAATGTTAAATTAAATTGAAATAGGGTTAGACTTCTCTTCACCATAATTTTTTTTTAATGTAGCCACATATAAATTGCATTGCAGTATGTATTAATCTTGACACACAGGCTGTACCCAGTTTATGAAAGGGTTATATTCATCTAAAGCCTCTCATAAATTTAATTTTCATAAGTTGATGCAGTTGCCTCATAGACTCCCCATTTTAAAAGCTAATACGAGTACTGTACAGTATATGTTCCTAAGAAAACCTTCCTCTATCAAAATGCCTTAAAATAATACTTGTACCGAGTAAGTGAAAACATACAGTGCAGTACAGTAATAATTTTATACCTGTAATTAAAAGAGGAACTGGATGAGATTTGAAACAAGGCAAATAAACCGGTAGTATGGAACACTAAAGGCGGCAGCACACTGGGCACTTCCTCCTAACATGTTTGGCAAACACCGTCCAGCCAGCAAACCAAAGAGACAATTTGCATCACACTGGGATGTTTTGTTGACATGTCTGCTCCACGAAACAAAAACAAGAACAAATTGTTTAGACGAGGTTTGCCATGGATCCCATTACTGCAGTAGAGGCCTGCAAGATTGAGCTATAGATCTTCAATTGGTGAAACAAGTGAGGCATCTGCAAAGGCTAAAGAAAAGACAAATGGGTGCGATGTGAAGTTTCTTTAAAAGTGGCGGCTGCTGACTGGTCAAAGAAGATCCTGAATAACGATTTAATAATACTAAAGAAGTTTTAAAGTGATGAATGAATAGAAATATGTCACCGTTGTGTTATATTTTAAATTATTATTGTTTCATGATTTATTTAAATTTTTTCTTGAAATTATATGAAGCTCATTTGAGCACTAATCCAGCCAGCAAAGATCCCTGCCAAACTTTTGTCCATTTCTAGCAACGGCCAAAATCCTGCTGCTTGCTGGGTGTTTAGGCCAACTGCCAGCAAAACGGGCAACATGTTTGGAGGAAAGCACCCAGTATGTTGCCACTTTAAGCCAACATCTATAATAATTATAGACAGTTAAACCTTAAGTAGGACTGTATGAGGCTTGAAACTGTCCAACTTATATTGAGTTCTGACTTATGTCTGATTTCCCCCCCCCCCCCAGGTACTTTCAACCATTTTGCTGAAAAATCCCTTCCAAAAACAAAATTAAAGTTAACAATATACATTTACACAGCACTTACTGTACTTTCATTGTAGCAGATGAATTTTGAGGAGGAGGACAATGGGATCTGCTTACACTTACAGTCCTGTACCTATATTTACACTTATATTTAATACACTTAATATTTAGTTACACTTATATCTAGCATGCATTTAAATTTGGCCAATCATAAAAAGTACTTTGCTTCAGCCCTAACTACTCACAGATAAACATTCACAGAGACCCCAGTATCAATTCTGTCTCATATCTTCTGTTTCTCTTCAATTAGTAGAGTTCTGAGCACCATTCCTTTTCTCCCATTGGTCGTCATTGGTGTTGTTTTGTCTTTACTTGCTTTAGAGGCCATGATAAATACACTAAGCAAGCACTAAATACAAAAACAAATCGGAGTATGCGGCAGAGCAGTGGTCACAGCAACAAACGTGGGCACCGACTCTGCTCCCAATTCCCCCCCCAGCCATGTACAGTAGAATCCTAGTTGTCTGGTATTCATGCAACCGGGTGATTCAACTAATGGGCACCAAAATGAAATAATAAAAATAAACACACTCTATTCCTCCAAAATCAGCTAGAATTGTAAGTTTGAATACTGCACACAACGGAGTTGAGCTGCCATATTTATTGCTATGATAAACAATAAAATTGATACATAGCATATCATAAAATACAATAGCACATATATTATGAAAAAAAATTAGATCCTTCTACACTCAAACCATCCTATGGGCAACATAACACAGTTCAGGCAGCCACCCAGCTGACTCACAGACATGTGGCTGCTGCGTTGGTTGTGTGTATCCCATGTCGTCACATCGGGAGGGACCGCGGCCAGGCAGTTATAGCCCAGTAACCCACTGCCTACACATACATTCAATTCCTGCACGTACACACCCATGCTCTTTATTTTTTAGTTTTATATTATATTTTCTTCATTTCTAAGCCACTAGAGTATTGTAATGATTTTACAACAACTTTTATAGTTTCATTACATGTAACAATAAACACGGTGGCTGGGCTGGCGAGTTGGCAAGTAGTTATAGCCCACTGCCTCCACGTACATTCACTTCCCATATAGTATACTATTTACACCCATGTTCTTCATATTTCTTATTTTATAGTTTTGTATTATATTTTCTTTATTTCTAAGCTACATCATTTATATCTAGTGGAATAAGTGCGAAAGAAGTCCAGTTTTCTGAGATGCAAATTTGTGAGGTCTACCTGTAACTCTCAGCATTGTAGGATTTATTGGGGAATCTTAAGAGTGACATTCAAATAATTCGAAAATCTCTTTTTCTGGCACCTCTCAATCCTCCTCATAGGTGCCAGATAACTGGGATTCTATTGTACATGTAATAGTATAATCACTGTACTTAATGTTTGGCTGCTAAAGTACTCAAAATACTAGATACTTAGCAATTAATATCGATGCTTTCAAGTACAGTCAGTTCTGCTATAACGCGATAGTTGTGTTCTTGTAAAATATCGTGTTATAGAAAATCGAGTAATAGAAATAACAGGGCTTATGGAGAAAATAGGGTTAGGTGCAGATTACTACTCGAAATCGAAAAAAATTAGTAGTTAGCCTAACACAAAGGATAGCACAGTCTAAATAAATGTTACATTCATATCTAATAATGAAATCATACAGTAAATGTAACACTTTACCTTGAAAAAATATGAATATAACTTGATGGGGGAGAAGGGTGATTTTGAGGTTGATAACATCGAGCTTCTCTTCAAGTGTTATATCCTTTCTTTTACGATCATCACCGGAATACGATCACCAGAACGCTTCTTGGAGATATTCTTCTTTACCATATTCACAGTTAATACCACAAAATTGGAGAAATAGTAAGCAAAAATCGCGTTACAGCAAACAAGGGTTCGCGTTATACAAATATCGTTCCTCTATTCATAAATCGCGTTAGTGCCAATTTGCGTTATCAAAACACGCGTTATAGCAAAACTCACTGTATATAGCTGGTATTGGAACTATCAATATGCCCACCACTAATATAGAGTGAAAGGGAAGTTTTTTAATTACTGAGCCACATTATATACGTACCATAGAAATGTAAGCCACTTTCTGAAGATAAATGTTATGGTTTATGAGACTTGACAAATGTTTTGGTTCATCATACTCTCAGCATTTGGAGACTGTTGATACAGTAGCTTCAGTAACTTATAACTCTACAGTACAGTACTCCAGATTACCATACTGTCTTATAATGGTCAAATCCCAGCAGCTGGTGAGGTTAAGTTGGTATATGTGAGTCAAAGGTTTATTTAACCTTCTGATTTGTGTGATAATGCTTTCTCTTCTCTGTCAGTAACTCAGTTTACACTTAATCAGGATGCCTGACAAAACAAAACACCTTGAAATGAAGTAAACTTTAATGCATGTGTTATCAAATGAAATGAAGTAAACTTTAATGCATGTGTTATCAAAAATAAAAGAGTGCAATATTTATTATAGACCAAGAATGAGAGAGAATTGTTTAATATAAACTAAAAAGAAGAAAAAGCAGTGTTTAATATAAATTCTGAACACCCAGCATTTTCATGGGTAAAGGGTTGACAAAAATTTAAAATCACTAGATACCTATGAACAGATTATCTTTTAACCAAGAATTAATTTTACAGGGAAAGCAGGTTGTTGAGGTAGCAAGAGAGCGTCCACAGTGGTTTTCTCGTAGACTGACTTTGAAGTCCAACATTACAACTTCCTCGGACACTACTACAGCCAAGCCCACAAATTTAGCATGAAAACTCACCTGTGTATGTTTGGTATTTTTAATGTATGCCCTTAAGCCAGGCATCACTTGTTATTTGTTCAGGCCTCCAAGTGGGTTCTGTGTCTGACAGCACTTGTTATTCTGCATGCCTCCTTGGAGGCTATGTATCTGACCACTACACCAGTGTTACTGATCATCCTGCTCTCCCCATACCCCTCGATGCCCTCAAATGGGGGAGATTAGGTACAGTACAAGGGTTACTTTATGGAAGCAGGTGTTTTAGAACCATTTCTTCCCAGTAAGCTCAAGCATCATGCCATATCAGTCAAATACTTTAAATACAAGTACAGTAGACTCGCAATTTACGCGAAGGTTACGTTCCTGGGACCTTGCGTAAGGCCAAAAAACCCCGGGAGGTTGAGGGAGGGGACGTGAAGTGTTTTGACAGCCGACACCAAGGTTTACCCAGTGTGTATTTATTTGTCATAGAGATGAGTAAGTTTTTCTCTTATAAAATGTCACTGAATTGACCTGGGAGAATATACTTTACATTGCTGGGATTCTTATAAGATAGTGATTAATTTGAATTAAAACATGCTATAGTTTGCACTCGACAATTTTTTTTGAAAATTTTTTGTTTGAAATTGGAAATTGTAACCTAACCCCCGGGGTAATCGGCGTACAGTATAGTTGAAACCGGAGAAGAAAAATTTGCGTAAGTTGCGAATCTACTGTACTGTACTTTATCAGTCCCTGTTAACTTGTAAATGTTTTTCGAGTTAAGATATCTTCTATTTCGCATAGTTGAAATTTTCCTAAAAAAAATGCATTCAATAACAATAGTCAAATTACCATAGAAATACATGTACAGTAAAAGTCCAAAAATCCGGATGCCAGAAATCCGGACCACCCGAGAATTCGGGCTTTTCGAAAACTCAATTTATTTATTTATTTTTTTAGCTGGCTTTTGTGTGTATGTGCGCATGCGTGAGCGCCACAGCTGCACAGCGACAACAAGCAACCACGCGCGGTCGCCACTTTAAAATGAGCAATCAAACTGACAATGTATGTAATTTTGAGTCCTACTCTTTCCTTTTACAGAGTACTGTACAAGCCCATAATAATGGCTCCTAAAGTAGATAAACTTCGTTGTGTGAAGAGAAAGAAGAACACGTTGAAATTGAGTGACAAACTTGAAATAATTAAGAAACTAGAACGTGGTGTGAGCAATACTGTTCTAATGGAAACATACGACATTGGAAAGTCTACAATTTATGATATAAAAAAGGCAAAGAATAAAATTTGAATTCACAGCTTTTTCTTTAAAACTGCTCGTTTTGATAAATGAAGCATACTATATTTGCTAATGAATAAACTATCAAAATGTACCTGTTCATCTCTTCTTTATTCTTCCTTAAATTTGAATTTTAAAAGTACTGCCTGAGAATCCGGACCGACCTAATCCCCAAGCAGTCCGGATTTTTGGACTTCTACTGTAATAGGGAACTGTAAATGTATTTTTGAAATGACTGTAAATTCTCTTTCTCTCCCTCCTTGTTATGAATCACTCACTTCTACTGAACTGACTTTCCATCAGTTAATCCAGATTATTGATGGTTTACTGTAATACTTTATGGAAATTGTTACAGTGTACTGCCTGGATTGATTAGATAATTTTCCAACAAACCATTATGATGCACTGAGACCTTAAAAGGTGAAATGATGTATAAACTATATGATAAATATGTAAATAAATTTTTCCCATAAGTTACAAACCATATTGTTAAGATCCTCATGCTTTGGGTGTCATAATGGTCTTACTATTTAGCAGTTGCCATTATTGTCAAAATGCTTTTCCGCCTCTGCAATAATGTACATATACTGGTATCCCTTGCTATACTAATGGCCAAATAGGTTACGTTCCTGAAAAAAAAACTTCATTAAGTGAATTTTCATAGAGCAAATCAAACAACATAGGGAAAAATAGGGTACGATTCCCCAATGACAAGAAAACCCCAATATCATACCCCGAAAACATGAAATCAGTTCCCAAACAACAAAATACCTACCTAGCTAATGATAAATAATACAAAACTACCTGTACTGTAATTTACTACCTAACACATTAAATATACAGGTACTGTACTGTATTAATAAAGTCATCTAGGTAAAAATATGCAGCTAAAACCATTTAGAAAAAAAATTAATTAAAGTGTAATGCAGCCACCATTTGCAAACTAATTCGCTAAATCGAGCGAAAATAATGGAAATTCGATTTAGCGGAAATTTTGTTTTAACGGAAAGGGGTGGCTCAAATTAAGTTCGTTAAATCGAGAAAATAGTAAGTTCGTAAATCAAGAAAATAGTGTACTGTACTTGTATATCATGTTGAGAACAGTGAGCAGTGCCAACACTTGTAGGGAAGCACTCAAGTGTTGAAGGAAGGTACCCATGTTAGTCCTTTGTCAAGTCAATTGCTAAATCAGAACTTATCTATAGATTCTGACATCTTATTTTGAGACCACATATTTGATCATTTAGGCTACTGATGAAAAGGCTACTGAAAGAATTCACTAATTTGCAAAACAATCATACAGGAATTCTGAACATATGAGGCAAGCAATATCATACATGGGATTATCAAGTAAGGGTAGAGGAGCGACCAGATTATGGAGAGTTGGTGTTGTGTGGACAGTTGTCAGTTATCAATCTGACCTAGTGTACCCACAGTCTGTTCACAGCTGTTTTCTCTTCTGGATTTTTATTTTTTTTATATAATTGTATACCATAATAGAATTGTGTGCATTTTACAGTTTTAGTCATTTCCTAGGAACTTATAAAGTCATCGTTGTGCAATATCCCTCTCTCTCTCCAGGAATAAGTGTACTGTATTGCCTCGCCATGTTCACATTATTTTTGTCATGGATGGTGTGGGTGTTTGTCATGATGTGCATGTTAGTGGGTGGATGGATGGGATGGTATGTTCCTTCAGCCTACACCACCACCTACATATGCTACCCAACCTTAAACACGCCCATCTGTATTCTATCCACTCAAGGTCATCGTCTTCTACTGTCTGGTCAGACTCAGGAAGGCGAGTTGTGGGGTTTGTGTGTAGTGATGCAAGTCGTTCATGTAGTACAGTAATTGAATGCTTGCATTACATTTTTAAGGTGTTTGTATTTAGGTATGTTTAACAATCAAATTTTTTATTGTAATGGATGGTTGATATATCAGTTTTCATTTTCTTTAAGTCTTCTAATTTTTGAAATCCTGTAATATATATCACCATTCTGTGACACACGTGAGTAGATATTATTTCGGGATGTCTAGCTTGTACAGTATTGCTGATGCCGGAAGTGGCATATTCTTCCAGGTTATTAGACATTTAATGTTTTATTTTGCAAGAAAGTAATTTCATTATCATAACAGTAGAGGGTGCTGTGAATGGAGGATTTTATTTCAAACACTATGATTTAACTAATAAGCCCCAAAAAACATTATGTAAGTTGTGATAGAATATGTCAAGGTCACTCACAATGTGCTGTAAGAAGGTGAAGACTATCTACATCAGTAGATAATGAGATTAAACTAATTTAAGAAATTAATTAAAGTAATGTTGTGATTGAATACACCAAATATAGGTGCTGTTGTGTTTAGTACTTACAACTGATGGTGGGACATGTATTTCCAGGTATAGATAATTGTGTTCTTGTAAAATATCGTGTTATAGAAAATCGCGTAATAGAAATAACAGGGCTTATGGAGAAAATAGGGTTAGGTGCAGATTACTCGAAATCGAAAAAATTTAGTATTTAGCCTAACACAAAGGATAGCACAGTCTAAATAAATGTTACATTCATATCTAATAATGAAATCATACAGTAAATTTAACACTTTACCTTGAAAAAATATGAATGTAACTTGATGGGGGAGAAGGGTGATTTTGAGGTTGATAACATTGAGCTTCTCTTCAAGTGTTATATCCTTTCTTTTACGATAATCACCGGGAATTCTATCATCAGAGCGCTTTTTGGAGATATTCTTCTTTACCATATTCACAGTTAATACCACAAAATTGGAGAAATAGTAAGCAAAAATCGCGTTATAGCAAACAAGCGTTCGCGTTATACAAATATTGTTCCGAATTCATAAATCGGTGATAGCAGAACTCCTGTATGACAGAATAAGCATTGTTGTGTGATACTGGACGGCTTTGATTAACCCTTAGACCCTGGGTGACGTTCCAGAACGCCAGAATGTCCAATCAACGTGACCCAGGTGACATCCCAGAATGTCCGCCTACCCCCCTCCCCCCTCCCACCAGCAGCACCCTAACCCAGGGCTTAAGGGTTAACACCCCTATCAACCCAGTCACGCCGTGTGCGATTACATAGTGGCGGACTAATATTCCAGCTGGTGAGCAAGCAAAAACATGTTGAGAGGAATTCGTTAACCGAATTTAATATTCTTATGGAGGGTAATTCGTTAACCGAGGGACCACAGTATATTAAATGAAGCATGTCAGTTTCACTGTTACAACAGGATTAAAAAAAAACTTGTAATAATATTCAATTTATTTATTAAAAGAACCTGCAAATAACATTTTTACCTCATAAAAACTTAATGCATTGATTGAAATAAATCTCATGTGTCCAAAAGTACCTGCATATTTAAGTCATGCAAGTGTTGTGTATTGAGATCACTGAGTGGTTGGTATGATACAATTGAGATATTATAGGTGGCTAGTGGTATGGGTGGTATGGTGTGGATGATTTGATGTGGTATGAATGGCATGGTGTGGTATGGATGGCATGGTGAGGTGTGGGTGGCATGGCGAGGCGTGGGTGGCATGGCGAGGTGTGAGTGGCATGGCTAGGTGTGGGTGGCATGGTGTGGATGACTTGGTGTGGTTGGCATGATATGGATGACTTGGTGTGGTGGGTGGCATGGGATGAATGACTTCGTGGGCAATTACAGGCCAAACCCACAACTCATTAGAACATGTATTAAATTGGACAAACAGGAAGATAGGGCAGAGAAGTCTTATTGCATGAATATGCAAAATAAAAGAGTGTGAGAGTGTGTGTGTAATAATAATTACCGATTTATTGAAAAGGTTCAGCAGCCCAAAGACTGAAAATATAGTTGATAGAAATGACTTATTACATACATTGACATAGGGAGGAGAGGAGTGTGTGTAGGGGGGGGGGAATATTCAGATAGTACAAAAGAGAAGACAGAAACTTATGGATAACTAGTAGTCTACATCCATTGCACTAGTTTCCTGAAGCTAAACAATCCACATAATGATGGGATTAGAGTAGTCCAGACAATTATTAAGTCAAACATAAAACTACTGTAAACACAACTTTAAAGTATGGCTTTTTTTTTCCATCATTCAATTGCATAATTTGTATCATAATCCTGCACAGCTGTTAGCCTACTGTCATATTAGCATTTACATAAAATTTTAAGTTGTTTCCTACAGCTGCAAACCATAACCAAATGTTTACTTCCAAACCATTTATTTTAAACTAATTCCCATCTTAATGTTATCTACTTCTAATCCCTTTCTTAATGTTACCTATTTCAAGTCCATTTACAATACTGTACTTATATTACTTACTCCAAATCCCTTTTTATATAAATTCTACGTCTCGTCCCTTTCTTGATATTATCTACTTCTAAACCCAGGGGTAATCAAAAGATTACCTGCTTCAAGTAGGCAATTAATCTTTAACACCCTAGGAAGTAGCAGCCTTGGCAGTCCTACATATACAGTATAGTACTGTACTATAATGCCAAGTTCCCACTCTGCAGAAGTGGGTTGGTTATAAAAAAGGCTTCCAATCATAAAATGTGCTTCAAATTTGCCCAATAGCAGGAGAAATTACAATGGAAATAAGGTGAAGGAACTAAGTCCGATCAGCTGTTTAACCCTTGAAAACAAACAATTCGTGGTGTTGAGTGCG